CCGGGGGTAGGCATTTATAGATTATGCTAGTAAAAGTGGCATATTATGCTAGTAGCATTGCTTTTTTTTTGGCCAAATTATGCTAACATTATGCTCTTTTTTCCAAATTATGCCACCGTTTTTTTAAATTATGCTCTTTGAAAAAATGCAAATAAGTCCAAAATATATATTTTTTAACTAGAAGCCGTTCGTCTACAGGAAAGAAATGCAACAAATCCACAATTAATTTCAAATAAACATGTGGTTCTGGTTAGACCCGGGCTCAGTGCTTCACAGTGAACTACAAATGCCACTAGTTTAACTAAAACTTTAAATATCGATTAAGGTCACCAAGTGCTTGGAACTAGAGACAAAAAATGATCAAATAATGGCATCTAAAATGATCTGATAATTATCAAAATGCGCAAATTGTGCTAGCATTGCTACTTGGCAGAAATTATGCCAGTTTGCTCGAATTATGCCAAAAATTATGCTAGCATAATCTATAAATGCCTAACCGGGGCTCGATAAGGCTTGCATGTTAATCGGCGCGGATACCAAGCTCACGAGTAAGTCAACATGGCGGCGAGAAAGCGAAACAGTAATTCGCAGATGTAGAAACTCAGGAAAGTCACTTTCACTGTCCTTTGCAGTGGCGGTGGATATTTTACCAATTTTGGACTGAATACTCTTCTATTTAGGTAATTCAACGACTTTCGATGGCGTTTAATTTACATCCCAAATCTCATTGCTTCTGTGCACACATGTAAACGTGTAAGCTTTGAGCTGTAATGACACCTGCGATTTTTTCATTGTTCTCTTCAAGTCTGTGACTTAAAGAAGACAGAAGGAGTCAAAAGCCTTGAAATATGGTCGACTGCAAGGGTGGAAAGAACTTATTTGGATTCGCCGTCGCTAGACCGCCATGTGTTGTTTTTATAGTTTGTCTAGCAGCCTTCGCCATTGGTTTATATTCCCTTGGCTGTTTCATTAAGACGTATGGTTGGTTTGACACGGCGAGTGCTCGTGAAGAGGTTTGTATCTGATTTTTTCCATATCCTCATGGGTAAATCTGGGTTAGATGTCAATATACGCCGAGACTGGTCACCCTCTTAGCTGTTTTCTGACGTGGATGTCACACTAGGAATTGAACCGGGTAGGGGGGGTGGGGGGGCTGGGAACACTTCCAAGACAATTCTCAGAACATGACATTAGTAATTTTAATTAACAAATGGTAAACACCACAGCATACACTATTGGGTTATGGATGCACGCGGGAGGTTGCTAAGCATGAAAGAAGCGTAAGAGTCATGCGAGGCGATTGCCAAGAGTGACTCTAGCTTCTTGAGTGCTTAGCAAACCTCCCAAGTGCATCCATAACTCAATAGTGTACGCTGTGGTGCTTACCATTTGTTTTATAACATAACATTAATACGTTGTAGCTAAAGAGTTCCCTTTTATTTAACAAATCTTACGTGACCAGAAAAAAACAAGCACGCATGGAAAAATAGTCTTTGCATTTGCTCACGTCAGCAGCATACACCCATGGGCAAATGGGGGACTCTAAATTGACCAATCTGAGCGCGCACCTTACTTTGGTTATGTTATAACAATAATTGATAATCAATGATTATAGTACATGGGGAAATTATAAGGGTGACCTCTCTTGTCTTTGATGGTGAGTAGATTTAATTTTATCTAAGAAAAAAAATCAAATTTGGTTTTAAAGTTGAATGCAGAGTAGACTTGGCTATCCAACCAGTTCATTCCTAGGTTTTAGGAGCTGGGTATTACTACCAAATGGCAATTTCACCAGAACACGTCTTTCATCTGAAAGATAAATTGGAATCTTACTTCTGCTGTATCAAACAAGTTGCTCATAGGGAGTCTTTGATTTTATTACACGACTCGAGCAGTCAGAGGGCCAATAACTAAAATCAACCAATCAAAATGCTCTATTGCCGGTCCAATATTCTCTAAGTATTGGACCGGGCACTGTCCCGAATGGTCCCGAATGATACCGCACTTGTGTCCCTTTGAACTTCAGTCGTATAATAAATCTCTTATTAACCAAGCTTGCTCGGGACCGTACTGGAAGAATATCGGCCCTCGGTCTTTTTTGTACGGACCGAGCGCAGCTCGGTCCGTACTGTCAAGACCTCGGGCCGATATTCTCCCAGTACGGCCCTCGCGCTTGGTTAATAAGATATAT